ACAGTTCTATAACTTTTAACATTCACATTAAAATAATAACAATCCAATAATAACAGCACTCTGCTGTAAATGTAAGTCTGATTATTTGTATTATAGCAGAGTTCACCTGTATTTATAGATCATTGTTTTACAGTGTAATTATTTATATTTCATGTGAAATTAAAACTAAAAACTGTATTTTAATTATAGAAAATTACTGTACGAGTCAGTTATATTCTGTAATTTTACTGTGTCTGCTCAGGACAGTAGATGTTGTGACTAACCCGCTGAGGACTCCCAGAACCAGGTTGAGAACGAAGAATGAGCCAAAGATCACCAGACTGACGAAATAAACCCAGGGCAGCTCAAACCCGATGGCGTCATTCATCTGCAGACACAGATGGAAACATCGCTGTCAGGATCGAGAGCTTCTTTCACTTCCAACCGTCTGATGAAGGAAGCTCTTACCCAGTAGAGGACGTCAGTCCATCCCTCCATCGTGATGCACTGGAACACGGTCAACATGGCGAAGAAGAAGTTGTCAAAGTTGGTGATTCCTCCGTTTGGACCGTCCCACCTCCCCCGACACTCTGAGCCGTTAATCATACACTGCCGACCGTGACCCGCAAACGCACACGGCACCGGGTCGTCCTCCACGTAATTATCTGGAACATAAAACGATTTTATTGGAAGCTCTCAGCACATTCCTTCATTTGCTGCTCTGCATGTTACTGATATTTGAAACCTGTTTGGATATTTGATCTTTTCTTGATCTCATATTAAACAGTTCGGTTCGATTTGATCCAGTACAGAGCGATAAGATACCATACTGTATGACACAATTAGATTGAATACGATATGGTATGATGCCGACGTATTACATTCAGATATTAGTTTATCACTAAAGAAGTGGTTCTATAAGACAGACTCTTTTTTTGTCTCCTCCATTGGCACCAGACGGCGTTACGGTGTTGGATTTCATGGATATTGTAGGGAAACATTCAGGATCTGAAATATTCAATGACCTCAGTGTCACAGTTGAAGAAAGCTCATTGGAAGCAAGAAAGTCACTCAGAGATTGTTGAGCACTACTTTGTAATGAGTTACTCTGGAGCCGATCCGATACAACTCCATACGATACTTTAAGACAGGAGATGACACTCTTTATTGTCCCCATAGGATAATTAGCCTTGGGCCCAAATGCTTTGCACTACAGCTCCCTCTATAGGCAGACAATAAGACCTCAGAGTGCCTGTGAGGAACTAATATGATATTTCTTCGAAGGTTTACTTTAATATTGGTGCATTAAAAGAAGAACGGCTGCTGCTGAAGGTTTGACGTCTTCCCCCGTTACAATTAACGGCCATCCGACTATTTAAGTTTTAACTTCAAACATTTTCTCAGCAGTAACTGATTCTGTTGCCCTCTTCACGAGCAGACCTCTGAAACTTGTTGTATAATTTGTTGTTCTTTAGGTCATGAGGGTACCTGTTCCTATGTGGTAGCAGGTCTTGTGCATGCGTCCTATGAAGAGCTCCAGACCGATGATGGCATAGATGATGATGACGAAGAGAACCAGCAGAGCGATGTGGAGCAGAGGAACCATTGCCTTCATGATGGAGTTCAACACAATCTGCAGACCTGACAGACACACAAAGCTTTACACGTTTCCAACAACACAGGATACTCACACACACTCTGCGTCCAGTCCAGTAAACTCACTGGGAACTCCCGAAACCAGTCTGAGGGGCCGCAGGACTCTGAATGCTCTCAGAGCTTTGACGTCTAGACCTCCAGGTTTCCCCGGCACATGATGAGTGGTCGCCTGCTCACCAGATTTATGAGTCATCGTCTCCAAGACGACGCTGAATAACCTGCAGAAAGAACAACAAGAGCAGACAGACGTTTAAGATCCAGCTCAAAGAAATGAAGCTCCAGTCTGAAGGGAAACAAGTAGCTTTGGCCCCCAGAGCTGCCATTTTAGCCACAGACATTTCAGGAGAAACCTGTACAATCATCACAGCGCTGTGTATTTAATGTTGGCACAATTAAAGAATTGAAACTTTAAATTATGACTGTTATGCCTTCTGTTCTTAATTTTCACTGCTGCGCCTGAAAATGTTGAATTTCAAGAATTGTGAATGGAGTCTGGCATTACGCTGCGAGCAGAACATCCGCTGAGGCTACTGCCACTTCCACCCAACATTTTAAAAATGATTGTGTTAAAAATAATCCCAAAAACAACACAAGGCCCAATGAAGCTAGAAACAGTCTTGCGCCCGACTGCAGAGTTTTTGATTATTTCTGATGTTGATGTTTATTAATTATTTCTTCCAGTTTAATATGTGGAAACATTATTCAAATCAATCAGAAGAATCCTTTTCCCTCTCAGTGTCCCACATCCAGCAGCCTCTCGGTGCATTGTCTCTGACTGTAAAGTGGATCAGAGTGTCCTCGGGCCACGTTGCCATGACGATATGTTTCATCATTGCAGCCCCCGAGGTCGTCCCGAGTCACGTCGGCACCCTGCGGCGAGGACGCTAAAGGATGACACGGAGGACAGGACCTGCAGGACTCGCTGTGACCTCAGCAGGTGACTCTGTCGGGTTATTAATGTCCGTTTTATATTTAACCACATTTATTATTTATTTTGTAAGAAGTCTCGCTGTTTCCTGTTTTAATTTGTTGATTCAAGCTCAACACTTCCTCCATTTAAGATTTAAGATTTACTTTATTAATCCCCTGTTGAGAAATTCTTCTTTTCACTCTTTTTTATATTTTTATACACACACAGGCTGAAATACACACTCATGCACATTCAAACATGGAGAGAGATGGTGGAGTCGTGGGCTTTTTGGGGTTAGGTGCCTTGCTCAAGGGCACCTAGGCAGTGCACAGGAGGATAATAACAATAATAATAATAATAATAATAATACTGATATAGAGATATCAGTATTAAACTGAGACTGTTTCAGTTAAAAACCCCTCGTAGTACACTGAAATACAATTTTGGAGATCTTGTACTACTTATGCTAATGTTAATGCTAATGCTAATACGTCTACTTTATTTGATCACTTAATTTGATATAAAATATAGTGAACAAATATATGCTGCTGATGTATTATTATAAAAATCAGAATGAATTCATCAAAAGATCAGATCAAATATTGTATATAGTGGATATATTTTACTGTATTTTATTACATTTTATTGAATTTTATTCTCTCTCATCCGTGTACTGTTACCGCTATGAGGGATAAATAAAGGAACATCTGATGTGAAAACCTTTCACAAGCAACCCGACAGTGAATACAATCATTGAATGAGCTGCAACATGAACATAGTGTTAGTTATTAATTCTACCAGTTTTATTAGTTCCATTAGTTCTATTAGTTTTATTAGTTCCATTAGTTCTATTAGATATATTAGTTATATTAGTTGCATTGGTTATATTAGTAGTATTAGTTGTATAAGTTATATTAGTAGTATTATTAATATTAGTTGTATTCGTTTTATTAGTTATTAGTTATATTAGTTATATTAGTTATATTAGTTATATTAGTTATATTAGTTATATTAGTTATATTAGTTATATTAGTTATATTAGTTATATTAGTTATATTAGTTATATTAGTTGTATTAGTTGCATTAGTTATAGTATTAGTATTAGTTGTATTAGTTATATTAGTTGTATTAGTTTAATTTGTAGTATTAGTTCCATTATATGGTGGTTGTAGGAGGGTGGGGGTGTATATTTAGTTGGCTGTCACAAACACTCGACACAAAAACAGTAAACTGAGATAAATTGTGGCGTCGCTGGAGGGTTTGTTCCTCCACTGAGACAGAAGAGTTTACTGCAGTCACTTCTCATTTACTGCTGATCTTACAACAGTGCTAACCTAACTGCACACAGAGAGCAACACAGGAACACAGTCCAAAGAACCAGAGTGCAAACAAACAACCACACTCTAAAGAACCAGAGTCTGAAGACAGAACCAGAGTCTGAAGACAGAACCAGAGTCTGAAGTCAGAACCAGGGTCTAAAGAACCAGAATCTGAAGAACCAGAGTCTGAATGACTGGATGAGTCAAGATGGCGCCCCTGTGTTTGGCTGGCCGTCTCCCTCTGCTGAGAGTGTTACAGGTGTATGATCGCCTGACACTT